GTCTTTACGTAAAAGAGAAAAATCAACAGCTACATAGAAAAAGTTGGATAATTTGTTCAAAGAAAGAAAGTTTAGTAAAATAAAAAGTTTCAATGTCAAAAGTAAAACCAGTGGCTATAGAAAGACAGGTCAGTGGTTAGGAACACTGGCTGCTCTTTCGGAGGACCTGGATTTGGTTCCCAGCACCCACATGGTGTTTACAACAGGCTGTCTGCAACTCCAGGTGCAGGCGATTCAACACCCTCTTCTGGCCTCTGCAGGCACCAGGTATGCACAGACATATATGCAGGAAAAACATTCATACACATAAAACAATGAAATTAAATAAGTTTTATTAACACTTTTTTACTTACGGGGTATAGGGTATGCATGCAGAGTACATGTGTAGAAGTCAGAGGAAAACTTGTGGACATTGGTTCTCTCTTTCCGCCATATGGATCCTGGGGATGAAATTCAGGTTGTTGGACTTGATGAAAACCGCCTTTTATCGCCTGAGATGTGTGCAGAGTCTGGGTAAAGAAAGATACACAAGCACTTTATACCTTACCTCATTATTAGAATTGGGACACATGAAGAAAATGTTGAGAAAGGAATCCTACTCTAAGTCTATGGGACCTCTTGATAGTAGTTTCCTATATGTTATTGGAATGGACACACCTGTAGCAGAATTCCCACATTTGCTCTTTAAGCTGTGGAATGAGAGCTGATGGTCCTGTGACAGCTTCCGAAATGTCCTCTATCCCACCCATGACAATACTACCTTGGATTCTAGGAGGGACGGCTGCCACTCTGAGGGCATAAAGGATGTGTGGGTGGTAGCCTTCATAATATTAGCATTCTTCAGTTTGTTTTCTACAGAATTCAGATGGATTTCAATGGATATCAATGGACTACCCCTAACTCAGCTATATTGCATCTGCCATGCTAAAGCAGATTGCCACAGTTTGTACTCATGATAGACAGCCACCGAGCTGACAACCAGGTTCCTTACCAGCCTTGGCATAAAAATAGAAGCATTTCCCATTTATATGGAATAGACAATTGTATGCACTTAGGACCTGTGTCGGGCATGCTATGTGTGTAACCTTCAATTACAAAGGCATGAGGACCACCTGGGCATTGGATGGCACATCACACTATCTAAGTCTATCCATGACAGTTTGTTCATATCAGATAAGGAAGAAGTGGAAAGTATGATGAGGGCATGGATATGTCCTAGAACATGGGACATAAATTCTGCAAAGATTCAAGGCGGCCCTATTAGAGGAGGTTCTGGGAGTCTAAGAGTCTGGTCATGGTGAGATAATTATTCCTAAACAAGGACAAACATTTGCATCTCCTATCTTCCCCCCATGAAGCCAGAACCATTCCATCCCATACGCTTCTCCACATCTTTAAGGTGGAATATTCCACACTTGAAAATATGCTCTGACCTATTTACCACGCAATGTGGAAGGCTGCCAGCTCCCAGTGGATCCTCAAGCAGGAGAAGTCTCAGCAACCAATCCAAGCTGCATCAACAAGCAGTCCTCCTGTTTGGGTCACATCATGTTACAGACTCTGTAGTACTGGAGGTGTCCACAGTAGGCAGTTGTGTTGTGTGCATGGTTTCTATCAAGTTCTGATAAGAAAATCACAACATAGATGCCTAGGGTTCTGGCATAGAGTCAAGCCATTTAGAGCGCAGAACTAGACATCATTTTTTAAAATAGCTCCTGGCAGTCGACTGGGTCCTGGCACAGATGAAACACCTGACTGTAAGATTAAGTTACCAGGCAGCCAGAATTGTCCACAGTGAGCTGCACTATTGACAAACCTCTCAAAGCATAATGCTGGGTGAACCTTACAGCAATGCCTTTTAGTATGTAAGTGGTTTGTTGGCAGTTGGGTATAAATAGGGATGGGGCACAAGGAGGCAGAGAAAATGGACTTCCGTGCCACCCACTGCTGTTGCATCGCATATGTTCTGTTCATCCTCATGGCCACTTTGGTAGAAGAAAGAAAAGGATGCATCTGGCTCATGGGGAGTGGGTTTAACACGAAGCAAAGGTCTTGGATTGTCTTTGTTGGTTTTATATCCAATGACGTGTGTCCTTACAAGACACAAAAGAGGAGATAGAGGCACAAAGAAGAAGGCAATTTGAAGAGAGAGGCAGAGCAGGGGGGTTGCATCAAGATGCTGTGGGATGCCCAGGACCATCTACAGCCACTACAAAGTAGGAGAGAGGAAGGCAGGGAGCGTCCCTTAAGGCCTCCAAAAGAGTGCAACTGGCTGGTTCGTTCATTGAGAATGCTGGGTCTCTAGAATTTTTGTAGAATAAGTGTTTATTATGTAAAACTATTTCTTTTGTGTTAATTGATTATGGGAACCAAAGAAACAACGACAGATAAGTCATCCTAGTGTATGGTACAAGCAGAAAATGGCCCCTGGTTTTATATCACCAGAGTGACCCTGAGAGACAGCAAGAGGCAGGGGCAGATCTTTAGATGTACAATGGATTCTTTACTTATGTGGAGGAGATGTGTCCCATGTTAAGCATATGAATGGAGTTTGGGGTAAAGGAGAGTGATGGAGCCAGCTGCTGGTCAGATTTGTTCCTATTCCCTGCAATCTTGACTGGAAGGATCAGACAGACAGACAGACACACACAGACACACACACACACA